CTGCTGGGTTCGGCCGAGGCGCCTCCACCTCGCTCCGGTCACCCCCGCCGAGCCCCAATGCCGCAGCCAGCCGCCTCTGCTCCTCCTGCATGCTGGAAACTCAATGGTCGGGGGCTTGGCCCTAAACACCAACCCATACTCATCATCATACCGATCATATCCACCATACCTGCCAGCATTGGGGTAACCTCGGTGATACCCCGGAGGTCCGCCTGCGTCGCCTCCTGCACTCCAGCCATGCCCAGCCTCACCTGAGTAGTCGCCGTACCCGCCCGGTGGAACCCCTGGGTGTGCTGCTGCTATCGGAGGTCCGTAGGCACTCGAACTCTCAAGCTGGGCCCGCCAGTCCGCTACTGGTCGACCATCCGGAGTTAGCCCGAACCGGTGAGGTTCGTTGGTAAATCGGCCCACCCCGGGTCGCCCATTGGTGGTCCGCCCAGCCCCGGTCTGGCCGGCTTTGGTCCACCCGGCTCCGGTCCGACCGGTCTCGGTCCACCCAGCCCCGGTCCGACCACCTTCGGTCCAACCCGGCCCGATCGGCCCATTTGGGCCCGGTTGGATCACCAGGGCCCGATCCGCCCCGCCTGCCCGATCGTACCCGCTCCCGGCCGGCTGCACTCGGCCCATCTCACGCTCCATGGAGTGTGGGCCCACTTGGGTAAAGCACGGGTTCTGGACCACGTTGTCGTAGCCCGGCATCTTCGCCTTGCCGCGTAAGGCCGCGATCTCCTCAGCCGTCGGAGTCGGTAGTAGCCCGGGCCCATTACGAGCCCCTTCAGCATCGGGGCCCATTCGTTCGACCGTGGCTTGCCCTACGTTGACCGCGGCCGAACCTCCCCCTGGCCCCGTCGCCGCCGAGCCCGCCGCAGCCCCGCTCGCCGCCGGGACCGCCGCGCTCCTTCCTCCCGCGCCCGCGCCAGGTCCGGCCGCCGCTGCTGGGTTCGGCCGAGGCGCCTCCACCTCGCTCCGGTCACCCCCGCCGAGCCCCAATGCTGCAGCCAGCCGCCTCTGCTCCTCCTGCATGCTGGTGAGGAGCTGCATGATCACGTCACGTTCACGCCTGGCCTCTTCCACCTCCGCCCGTACCTCCTCCATGTTGGAGTCGGTCCTCAGCTGCATAGCCATGATGGTGCGCATCGAGGCTTGGAGATCGTCACTCTCCGTCTCGTCCACGACGACTCCTTCTCGCCGGTTGTCCACCAAGGGTGGGGAAACCCTGGTCGTGGCCGCCGCCTTGGATCCAGCGTCGGACTTCTCTGCCGGTGACTTGTTGATCGCCATTTTGCTGCTGCCCGTCCCGGTGTAGAGTTGCGATAACTCAATAATCAGAACCTGAGCTCTGATACCAGATGATAGAAACCCGCTAGCAGGGTTCTATCTAATCAATGGAAATATGTTTGGAAAATGGAAAATTGGGGGATGGAAGCCTTGATTGGCTTCTGGTGCGGGTTGGTGGTATGGGAAAAGAGAGGGAACGTGGGAATTGAGAAGGGAAGGGAAGTGGGTTTGGTGCACAGGGAAGAAGAAGAAAAGAAGAAGAAGAAGGAAGGGGTCGGCTGCAGTGGAAAGCCGAGGAAGAGAGGAGGGTGAGGGACGGCTGGGAAAGGAAGAGAGGAAGAGGAATTAGCTGCTAGGGTTTAGGTTTAATTATTCCATAATCTCATTCAACGTAGAAAATAGTTTAAATAACAATTCCTAATTACCGATAACTACCCCAACTTATTAAACCCCCAATCTGAATCCCAAATACCCAATAAATCCATAAACAATTATAAACCATCAAATAAGTTCAATTGCGAATTAAATAGAAATGCAGGTTTCTATCAGCTAGCTTCGAGCACCAAAAACAGATGGAATCTGAGGGTTTCTTCACACCTGGGAAGAAGCACTCGAGATATGGGGTTGTCTTCGAGTAACTGAGGGTGAAAAACTCAGCTAATAGACTCAATTGTCCTAGGTTTGATCGCAACCAAATCCTAAGCTCAACAATCAACTCGCAAGTTGTTCAATTTTGGGGTTTTTCTTATTCAATGCAATCTGAATCATACAAACGAGCTTGAGGCCTTTATATAGGCTTACATAGTTACAAACAAACTAGAATAAGGATTGAAATTAACCTAACTAAGCAAGAAAACTAAATTACAAACATAAACCGAATTGAATTGGGAATCCTTGTTTGACACGGATTACTGGGAGTGCGAGATAGCTTCTTTGAAGCCCTCGACAATAGTCCTCCGAGATGATTCGATCTCACCCAATCCCTTGTCGTTGTAGAAGGAAACTTCCTCTGTATCCTCCAACTTGAATCAGCTCGAACTCATTTCCCAAACTCAAGTTATGGGTCTTCAAAGGTAGCACCTTGATCACAGTTTCTGCCTTAGTCAAATCTGGACAGATTCCAGGTTCCTCCATAGCATTTTGTGAGGCTTGGTAAACATCCTTCCTGGCATCTCCTTGAGCCCCATGACCTATCAATCGACTTATAAAGACTTGAAGATCACATTGATCCCTCAAACTCACATTTTCATTGAATGGCTTGGGAGATATGAGCTCCCAAAGTAGGTAACTCAAACCTGACCCAACACTTAGCCAAATTCCTTCCTTCTTCTTCCAAACTCCACTTCCTTCTTCCTCAAGCAATTCCAGCTTCAAGATTGATCCGATTGAGATCATATCAGGCCCCCCCTGTTGAAAAAGCTTTGTCCTCAAAGCTTGAGCTGTCCTTCGATCATAATCTGCACAGAACTGGCTCCAAATGTGATCAAAAGAGGGCTGCTCGAAACCCCTGTTCGGGAAGAGTAGGGCTGTGTTCTTCAGGCCCGAAATTGGGGGTTTCTTCTCCAGGCATCTCCAGATCAATTCAAGGTCACCAAGAGATTCGTCAGCTCTCGAATTGAACTTCTGGCTAGACCTCGTGCGTCGAATCACCCTGTACCGCGACGACGATCGCATTATTTCTTTCCCGCCACCGCCGTCGTTTAAATTTTTCGGTCCCAGAAATCCCAATAGAAAATTGGGGCTTTTCAATCCGCGCTTCATCGGCCGGATTTGATGACTTCGACAGCTTCCTGGGACACAGGCGAACGTTTTCGCATCACCCACCTGTGTCGATTCATGCCCAATCGTTCGAACCGATTCGCGCATTTTCTGGTCGTGTTTGCTCGTGTTCAGGACACTTCGAGCTCGAATCGGATGTTGCAATCCAACCGTTTTCGTGTCAAACCAACTAGTTTTAGAGTTTCCCTGCACAATTTGGAACGTGTTAGCACCTTTCCCCGAGTTCGGATCTTCACCGAACTCTCCAACGAAATACCCCTCTCTCCTCCCCTGCTCCGTCGTCGGTGAAGTACAGGGGCGCGCTGAACATGGCGGTGGAGTGCATTGTCGTCTGATTGCCGTGAGTACCAGCCTCCGAGCTATCAAACTTGCGCCTTCGCCTCTTTCTTGCCTGTCTTTGCTCCGATTTGTGTCCAATTGCTGTTGATCGGCTCTAGCTTCGGCCGGTGATAGTGGACTCAACTTCAGTTTCTTTCCACCGAACTGGAACGTGTAACAATTTTGCCGGCCATGGTGTGTTACGCCTCGATCGTACTGCCAAGGTCGTCCCAAGAGAATGTGTGCGACGTGCATTGGAGCCACGTCACAGAGAATTCGATCCTTGTACTGATCGATCTCAAATTCAACCCATGCCTGCTTCGTGACTTTCACCGCTCCATGGTCGTTGAGCCAATGCAGGCTATAGGGCTCGTGGTGTTTTATCGTGCTCAGGCCGAGCTTTCTAACCATCTCCAGACTGACGACGTTCGTGCATGAGGGTGTATGATCAGAATCAACGCCGGATTACCGTTGGGATTTTCGTCGTCACGATCGTCCCCTTCTTGCTCTCTGTTTTCTGGCCGAGTGATGGCGTCGATCCTCTGATTAATCTCCTGCCTGAATTGATTTAAACTTGTGTCAAATCGGCGCATCAATTCCTCTATGTCAACGGTTTGTCCTGCCATTGTGAGTTCTTCTTCGGTTGATTGCAGGGGCGTTCCCGCCGTCTGCTTCTTCTTCTTCTTCCTTTCCGACAGAAGCAGGGAATCCTCTGGAACAGGGCCTCGAGACCGCGTCCAGTGCACAACTCCGGCGCCGTCGCCCTCCTTGGAGTTCGCCGTACTTGCCCTGTGTAGAACCGGGCTCTTGATACCACTTAATACGCCCCTATGAGGGTGTATGATCAGAATCAACGCAGCACAGGCCTCAATTCAATTGAACTAAGGTCAACTCCTTGCACCTGACAAAACAGAGTCGCAAAACCAGCCTAGGTAGCTAGCTTCGAGCACCAAAAACAGATGGAATCTGAGGGTTTCTTCACACCTGGGAAGAAGCACTCGAGATATGGGGTTGTCTTCGAGTAACTGAGGGTGAAAAACTCAGCTAATAGACTCAATTGTCCTAGGTTTGATCGCAACCAAATCCTAAGCTCAACAATCAACTCGCAAGTTGTTCAATTTTGGGGTTTTTCTTATTCAATGCAATCTGAATCATACAAACGAGCTTGAGGCCTTTATATAGGCTTACATAGTTACAAACAAACTAGAATAAGGATTGAAATTAACCTAACTAAGCAAGGAAACTAAATTACAAACATAAACCGAATTGAATTGGGAATCCTTGTTTGACACGGATTACTGGGAGTGCGAGATAGCTTCTTTGAAGCCCTCGACAATAGTCCTCCGAGATGATTCGATCTCACCCAATCCCTTGTCGTTGTAGAAGGAAACTTCCTCTGTATCCTCCAACTTGAATCAGCTCGAACTCATTTCCCAAACTCAAGTTATGGGTCTTCAAAGGTAGCACCTCGATCACAGTTTCTGCCTTAGTCAAATCTGGACAGATTCCAGGTTTCTCCATAGCATTTTGTGAGGCTTGGTAAACATCCTTCCTGGCATCTCCTTGAGCCCCATGACCTATCAATCGACTTATAAAGACTTGAAGATCACATTGATCCCTCAAACTCACATTTTCATTGAATGGCTTGGGAGATATGAGCTCCCAAAGTAGGTAACTCAAACCTGACCCAACACTTAGCCAAATTCCTTCCTTCTTCTTCCAAACTCCACTTCCTTCTTCCTCAAGCAATTCCAGCTTCAAGATTGATCCGATTGAGATCATATCAGAAGCCATGTCCAAATGCTGCTTCTCGTCGAAATCCCTTGATTACTAGTCATGACTGCCATTCAAAGATTGACTGGTGTCAAACAGCAAGTTCTTTTATTGAGCAGGAGAGAATTCTGTGCCATGAGGTACCTTCACCTGTGGAATTCTTATCAAATGGTTCTTTTGCAGCTTCTTTGTCCAATATATGATTTCTTTAGACAACTAATTGATAGAACCTGGGATTAGGGTTCTATCGAGAATTGGGGATTTAGGGATTAAGAACAGAATTAGGGATTTGAGAAAGATAGATAGAGAATCGGCCTAGGCCTTTAGAGGGATTGGGAACGAGAATTGAGAGGATTAGGAGAATAGGGTTTAGGAAGGCTTTTCTTAATATTCTTCTTATTGATCCTGAATAAAACGCAAAGTACATATTTATAGGAAGAGATAGGAAAACCCTAATAATAAACCTAATACGATTAGAAGACTACTAAACATATTAATAATAATCCTAATAATAATATTATGATAAATAGGATAGAACACGAAAATCGTGTTTCTATCATCTCCTCCCCCTTGAGACCAACCTTGTCCTCAAGGTTGATCAACTCAACCCACTTCTCCATCCTTCTCACGCATTCTAGGCGTAGTCGCTTCCTTTTCTTCCAATTAGGCTTAAGCTCACGATGACCCTCGGATCCTAGAGCTTCAGCTTCCATCAAAGCTTTCCCAACCGCGTGACACAAGTCATCATCTCCCTGACCAATCGACGCTACATGCTCCCCCTCAAACTCCACGAGATAAGAATCTGGGAACTTTGCTTTCTCGGGGTCTTCATCACCAACCAAAAAATGTTGCCAATGTCCCTTCATTTGTATCCTTTGCATGGAATCTATTACCAAACCCATGGGCCCAAACACGCAACTTTTCTTCACTAATTGCCACAGCCTCTTTCTTTTAGAGCTTAGGGGTACTTGATGATTATCGAGGCTCAAAAGCTTATAACTCCCTCTCCGATGTGGCCTACCTATTTCCAACCGTTTTGCTCCGCAAGCTGGCCCATGCGAAACCCTCAAGGCCCAAGGCTCGGAACCCCAATTGTTGTAGGGTTGCACTGCAGTAAGAGAGGAGCTGCCGTCTCTTCCCTTCTCGTCTTCAATCGTCAGCCGTGCCATCTTCCTTGCCATCGCCGGCGATGCTTCCTTCGTCGTCTTCATCTCCGATTCCACCTTCCGGGTCTTCGTCATCACAAGGGTGGCTGCCAACAAACCTCGCGCATTTCGCGTCGACGGCGAGATGGCCCGGGCCAGTCCGCGGCCCCCGCCCACCTCCGCCTGACCCTTCTCCTCGCCGCGGTGCCATTCCGACGCCGGCGTTCCTCCTTGGACGATCGATGACGCGCCATTCCCCCCTTCACCCGACTCGCCGCGGCGCCCACCAGCCACCGCTCGCCGCGCGCCTCCCTCCTCCTTCGCGCGCCCGCCGCCCGCTTCCGCCGCCAGCTCCAGCGCCGCCCCACTCGTGCGCCGCGTCGGGCCCGACGGACCGGCGATCACCGCGGGCGGATCGGCGATCAGCTCCAGCACGCGCGGCCCGCCAGCTGCCTCCGCGGGGCAGTCCTCCTCGCACGCCTCAACTTCCCGGTTGGCGCAGAAAGCGTCAATCCGCTGCAGCAGCCGTGTCCAAGAGGGATCAGAGAGCCTAGCAGAGCTCATGTTGGCTCTGATACCAATTGATAGAACCTGGGATTAGGGTTCTATCGAGAATTGGGGATTTAGGGATTAAGAACAGAATTAGGGATTTGAGAAAGATAGATAGAGAATCGGCCTAGGCCTTTAGAGGGATTGGGAACGAGAATTGAGAGGATTAGGAGAATAGGGTTTAGGAAGGCTTTTCTTAATATTCTTCTTATTGATCCTGAATAAAACGCAAAGTACATATTTATAGGAAGAGATAGGAAAACCCTAATAATAAACCTAATACGATTAGAAGACTACTAAACATATTAATAATAATCCTAATAATAATATTATGATAAATAGGATAGAACACGAAAATCGTGTTTCTATCACTAATTCATGTGGAAAATTTCAACTTTTTGTTCAGCTAGAGAGCATGGTTACCTTGTCTTCAAGGAGCGAGGCTAAGAGTATTGAACCTGTTGCTGATGACAACATTGTTGAAATTAATCCTTTGAGAATCTCTCCTCCAATGAAAGAACTCAAACAACGCACGAGATTTACGTGGTATCCTCGTTCGTAAGAACGAGACTAATCCACGGAAGACTCACAGAGGAGTCTTCGGCTATACTTTTATTAGGGTTTTTACTTCTCCCACATACATCACAGCCGATCGGCTTACATGGACATATATAGGTTTACACAATTCCTTTGCAACACTCAACAAGGAATGCAAATAACTAAAAGGTCCTCGCATGAATATAAATGAACACATGAGGACAGCCGACCTAGTACGTACGCCCCCTATCCCGTACGTACCCTCGCAACACGCCCCCTCAAGCTGAGGCGTGAATGTCATGAAGGCCCAGCTTGGAGGTGAGAAACGCGAATTGCTCCGCGCCTAACCCTTTGGTAAACGTATCGGCAACTTGCTGTTGAGAAGCAATCTTCTGTGGAGCAATCTCGCCTGATATAACTCGTTCACGAACGAAATGGCAGTCCATCTCAACATGCTTCGTTCGTTCGTGGAAAACCGGGTTGGCAGCAATGTGTAACGCTGCCTGATTGTCACAAAACAATGGAGTAGGCGAAGTACTGGCTACATCCAACTCACTAAGAAGCCAACGGAGCCAGATAAGTTCACTTACTGTACTGGCCATAGCACGATACTCTGCTTCAGCTGAGGACCGAGCTACAACTGACTGTTTCTTGGTTCGCCAAGATATAGGGCTCTGACCCAGCTGAATGAAGTAACCGGTTGTGGAACGACGAGTCCGCTGACAACCACCCCAGTCAGCGTCACAGTGTGCTGTCAAACTAAGCTGTCCTTGAGTGGGAAAGCGGAGACCACGACCTGGGGCTCCTTTGAGATACCGAAGTACACGATAGGCAGCATCTTCATGTTCCTGACGTGGAGAGTGAACAGCTTGACTTAAAATATTAACAGCATAAACAATATCGGGTCGAGTTACCGTCAGATACTGCAGACGGCCTACAAGACGCCGAAAACCAGACGGATCCTTGGCAGCAGGGCCCTCGATCCGTGTGAGACGGTGGTTTTGCTCGATGGGAAATGGACAGGGCTTCGCAGCAAGAGCTCCAGCATCCTTTAAGATATCCAAGGTATATTTCCTCTGCGACAACACTAAGCCATTCCGTGAACGAGCTACCTCAATTCCCAAAAAATATTTTAGGACTCCCAAGTCCTTGATGCTGAACTGATCGTGAAGAGAAGACTTGACACGCTGGATAGTGTCCAAGTCGTCACCACCCAGGATAAGATCATCAACATAAATCAACGCAAACACGAATACCCCACCACGTCGATAAGTGAACAGAGAATGATCAGCCTTGGACTGCTGAAAACCAAACTGTTGAAGCGACGTAGTGAACTTCATATACCAGTTTCTCGATGCTTGCTTCAGGCCGTATAGAGATTTGCGAAGACGACAAACCCGAGTGTCCCCCGGTCGAGCAAATCCCTGCGGCAACTGCATATACACCTCCTCATGCAAATCACCATGAAGGAAGGCATTGTTGACATCCAATTGATGGAGATGCCAATTCCGGGAAGCAGCAACAGCGAGAACACAACGAACTGTGACGAGTTTAGCAACGGGAGCGAAAGTGTCGTGATAATCAACACCTTCAACCTGGGTAAATCCCTTTGCCACGAGACGCGCCTTGTACCGTTCCACGCTACCATCAGGGCGAAACTTGATCTTATAGACCCATTTTGAAGCAATGGCCTTTTTGTTGGGAGGCAATTCTTCCAAAACCCACGTACCATTAGCTTCCAAAGCATCAATCTCACGCTGCATGGCCTCGCGCCATTTGGCGTGACGAACAACATCATGGAAAAATTTAGGCTCAACGAGAGCATCCACCGCTGACACAAAAACACGATGGTTAGCGGACAAACGAGTAAAGGTAACGTATGCGGACAAAGGGTATTTTGCAGCAGAAACAGTGTGAGAGGAGGGTAAATAAGTGTCATAACCTTGCAAGCGAACGGAAGGCTGGCGAGCACGCAAGCCTCGTCGCGGTGCAGGCGCGGCGGAAGGAGCTTCCTCGGCAGGGGGAGAGGAAGGTACTTCAGGTTCCGCCGGCTGTGCTGGGGAAGAGGTGCTCGGCACCCTGGGAGCTGGCGAAGCAGGAGCAGGTGAAGGACAGCCCATGGCGGGAGAGGGCGTAGCGACGTCAACCACGGCGGCCAGGTCAGGAGACGAAGAGGGGTTAGCGGAATCAGTGATTGGAACTGCATCATCATCATCATCCAATGCCGAGACAGGGGGGTCTCTACTGACCATGGGATAGACACATGGTTGAATGTCGCTAGCTAAGGAACGAAAAGGGAAAACCCTTTCGTCGAAGACCACGTCACGGGAGACAAGAAGCTTCTGGGAAGCTAATTCGAACAAGCGATATCCCTTCTGTGAATCGGGATAACCAAGAAAGACACATGGCCTACCACGTTCACCAAATTTATCCAAGTGTGAATGAGTGTCCTTGGAATAAACCAAGCACCCAAAAGCTCGCAGATGAGTATAGGAAGGACGACGATTAAACAGTCGTTCATAGGGCGTCTGATTACCAAGAGCCCGATGCGGTAACCGATTTATCAAGTAACCGGCAGTAAGAACACATTCGCCCCAGAAACGCTTAGGCAAATTAGCATGAAAGCGCAACGCCCGAGCAGTGTCCAAAATGTGTCGATGCTTGCGCTCAACAACCCCATTTTGTTGAGGAGTATCAGTACAAGAAGTCTGAAGATGAATCCCTTCTGTAGCATAGAAGTCAAGTAATTCATGTGACCGAAATTCAGTCCCATTGTCTGTTTGGATAACCTGAACTGCGGCCTTGAACTGGCGAGAAACCTGCCGAATGAAAAACTGCAAATACTTGGCTGCCTCAGATTTGAATTTAAGCAAATAAATCCACACACCACGAGTAAAATAATCAACCACTGTAAGAAAATACTGAGCTCCACTCAACGACGGAACTTTGTAACCGCCCCAAATGTCAATGTGAATAATGTCAAACGGTTTAGAACTGCGTATCGAACTGGAAGGGAAAGCTAGCCGAGGCTGCTTTGCTCTTAAACATGATGAGCAAAGTTGTTTATTCATCCGACGAGTACTAGGAATTAAATGCAATAAATCGAGCTTGTCCGGGGAAGGGTGTCCCAAACGGGAGTGCCACAAATCAGCATCTACAGTGTTATGGGCTGCGAATGCCATCTCCTTTCGCACTCCATCGAATAACCGGAGATAGTAAAGACCATCACTCTGCGTCCCCGTCCCAATAATCATCTTCGAGCGTAAGTCCTGTATAACACAGAAGTCGCTCAAGAAGATCAACGCCAACGAAAAATCCCGAGTAAGCTGACTAACAGAGAGGAGATTGCATTTAAATTCCGGGACTAAAAGTACTCGCGGCAACATCATGCCATTAGATAACTGAACTGAGCCAACAGCGCGGACATTAACAACTGAGCCATCGGGTACCCGAACCTGCAAATCTGATTCTGTCTGATACCCATTAACCAACTTGGAGTCATTCACTATGTGTTCATTGCACCCAGTATCGATTAACCATTCATCTGTACCCTCAAAAAAAGGCAGAGAATTACCTGTCATCTTGTCGGGTTGTGCAGTCTTCAATTCGCCCCCGAAAAGAGTCTTCAATTGCTCAAACTGGTTAACGTTCAGGCCAGGGATGGGGCTCTCCCGAACTTCGACTTGGGCTGCCCGCGGACCAGACTTGGACCGCTCATTCCCTCTGCGACGGCGGTCTTTCTCTCGATCCCCTTTACGTTCACTCGCACGATCATTAGTACGATCCGGCCAGCCAATCAACTCGTAGCACCGATCTTTAGTGTGCCCCGTCTTCCCACAATGATCACAGATATACTTAGATTTGGAGGACTCATCAGCCCGTCCAGAAGACCCCTTTGCGCCAGCGCGCCCTTCCTGAACGTGGAAAGCAGCTGCTTCAACAGTTGGGCGCTGCGAGCTTGCAAGTTTCCGTTGTTGTTCATCGTTGCTAACCAGATGATACGCATCAGCAAGACTAGGCGGGGGTCTCATGGCCAAAATCTGGGTTTTGACAGTAGCGAACGCCTCGTCGAGACCCATCAAAAAGTCAAATAATTGTTCGCTGTCTTTGGTCTCACGATACCGCCGTTTGACGTCACAAACACAGCCATTACAAGTACACTCTGGAGCCGGCGCAATGGACTGAATTTCGTCCCAGTATCCGCGGAGCTTTGTGTAAAAGCTCGACACGCTCGACTTCTCTTGTTGGAGTAGCGCGATCATACGACGCAGCTCATACATCCTAGGTGCGCTTCCCCGACCAAACCGAGATTCCACATCCAGCCATATTTCCCGCGCCGTACGAGCAAAGCGAACGCTAGAACGTATCTCCTTGCTCATGGCTGTTTTCAGCCAACCCTTCACCATTGCATCGCACCTCTTCCACTGTTCCAGGAGGATCCCATCGGTAGGCTTAGGGAGAGAGCCATCGACGAAACCCATCTTGTTCTTAGCAATAAAAGAGTCTGTTATATCACCTAGCCATTCTCCATAGTTGCTATCGGTGAGAACTTCCCCAACAAACAACTGGTTAGGGCTATCGGAATTAGGAAGAGCAAAAGCCGGAGGAAAACCATCTCCGCTGCCACTAGCGGCACTCTTCATCGGCGTCTCTGTCGCCGAAGACTTCATCGTTTCATCGTCGGAAGCCATGATCTTTTCACAGCTCTGATACCATGAAAGAACTCAAACAACGCACGAGATTTACGTGGTATCCTCGTTCGTAAGAACGAGACTAATCCACGGAAGACTCACAAAGGAGTCTTCGGCTATACTTTTATTAGGGTTTTTACTTCTCCACATACATCACAGCCGATCGGCTTACATGGACATATATAGGTTTACACAATTCCTTTGCAACACTCAACAAGGAATGCAAATAACTAAAAGGTCCTCGCATGAATATAAATGAACACATGAGGACAGCCGACCTAGTACGTACGCCCCCTGTCCCGTACGTACCCTCGCAACATCCAAATGCAAGAGATTCTGGTAGGCTTCTTAAAGTTACTGCATAATTATATGCATTTGAAGATGTGGTATCTTATGTGACTTCTGATACTGAATAACAGCTGTCCTGAATGATGTTACGTCAACGAATTGTTTTCACCGCCTGCACACGGTATGCTTTTCACTATTAGAAGTTAATATACCTTTGGATTTTGAGTCCCTGGGGTTTTTGTATGATTTTTATGCCTGCTCTTAATTGTCTGCCTCTAGCACTCTTTACCTCATTATTATGTGTACTGTCCTCGGTCATGAGTCTGGTTGAGTGTCATTGTTTGGCTGGGTTTCTACAAGGCATTGGTAGATGCCATCCGGACATTGCAATGCTTTCAATTGGTTATCGGTATAAGCCCTTTTCTAGATTTTTTTAGCATGTTGCTACCTAGTCTTGGCTACGAACCAGTTGCGAGTTCTCAGTTCAGTTCAGGATGGGGAAATATAGCAAAAGGCGAGTTCAACAGGGATAGAACTGCTTCAAAAATATCTGAGTACTTCTTGACATTATTGTATTTCTGTTATGCTTCTCATCATCTGTTTGCTTCTGGAAAAATTTAAGTTTTTGTGCATGCCTACCCATCCCCTCTCTATTTTTAGCTTATTTTCATTGTCCTGTGCCCATACTTTTCCAGGATGATGATAGTGACTTGGGTTATGAACAATTGGAAGCATACCCTGAAGTTACTAGTGAGGCTTCAACTGAGGCAGCAACATATGTGAAGGTTAGTAATAAATATTTTATATGATGTGCTGTGTGATGGTTTCTGTGGACTCAGTTAGGGACTGGTTTTCTCTTCACTATGATGTCTTTGTTTTATGTCATAACTAGGTGAAGTCGTTCCTTTTTATCGTGTGGATATCTGTCAACGTAGGTTTTCATGGCTTCTGGTTCTGATGCTAATCAAACAAATGCTGGAACTTTTGAGGCTCCCTTGACTACTAACATACCAAATAGCCATTCATTTCGTGCCACATCAGAAGATTCACTACCTGCTGCAATGCGAAGAATGCACATCACAACTCCTGTTGAGGTTCCCTTGACTGTTAACATACCAAATAGCCATTCATTTCATGCTACATCAGAAGATTCACTACCTGCTGCAATGCTAAGGATGAACATCACCACTCCTGTTTCTGTACAGAAGCAACCGATGCCTATAGTGACTGTTTTGGAAGGTATGGATGGTAGTGGATCTCAAATTGGCAACAATCAAGGATCTCAAATTGTCAAAAATAAATCCAAAAGGAAAAGAAAACCAAGGTCTGAGGGGGATGATATGCATTTGAAGGCTGCTGTTCAGAAATTTGTTGAGGGTAATTGGGGATATATAGTAAAACGCGAGTCCATGATGGGGGATAGAACTGCTGCACAATTATCTCAGGTACTTCTTAACATTATCTCATACCTAGTATGGTTCAGGAGGCACAGGGATCTTTGAATAGTTGAAACTATAACAAAAATGGACAAACTTGAAGATGTAAGATAGTGAGGAAAGCAAAAATTAAAAGTTTTTCAATGATTGATACTTGAGAAATAGCTTAAGTAGGAGATTTGCTATAGCTAGCCAACTTGAAATACTTTTCAGTGCTTGTTTGTGGAGGTGAAGCTGTGGGAAATCTATCGACTATTATGAATTCATCCCTGAATCTTGCTGACAACTTCAGTTTGGTACAGAAGTTAGGTTTCTTTGGCATAACAATAGATGTTGCTACATAGTGTTTTGGGAAAAAATCCCAGAATACACCAATTATTAAAAAAAATTACCAAAATACAGTACTTATAAAAGTAATTCCCAAAGTACAGCAGTTTCAACATCACTGTCTTTGTCTAAGACAGTGATGTTGATCACCGTTTTGGTCTAAAACGATGATACATCACTGCTTTAGACAAAAGCAGTGATGCTATCATCGCTTTAGACCAAAGCAGTGATGCCATCACCGCTGTCAAGGAGGACAGTGATGGCATGACCGTTGATGAGGGAAGCAGTGAAGGCTTCACCGTTGGATCCAACAGCGGTGAAGTGGCGCGGATCGCTGACGTGGACGCGCGCGGGCACTTCACCGCTGAAGACCAAAGCGGTGATAGCCCCGCTTTCCACGTCAGCGATCCGCGCCCCACCCCGCGCCTTCACCGCTGCCGTCCGATGCAGTTATGCGTGGATTGTGGTTTTTCTCCACAATCCGACGCATCAGGAGCCGCCACGTCAGCGATCCGTGACCATCACCGCCTTTGTTGGACGCGGTGATGGCTCTGTGTTTGTTTGGGGCGGTGATAACTGGCCAGGTCTTTTCCCAGCCCCAAACACTATAAATACCCATCCCCCCCTCATTCCAAACCACACCACCACTTTATACTTCTTTCTCCCTCCATTTTTCACTCTAGTTTCGTTCTAAGTATGCTCTGTGGTTGCGGCTAAGTCCGATCTTCCGCATCAGAAAGAATTACTAGAGTGTTTGTTTTGTTGTTTTGTCGATACTCTCGCTAGCTTTTCGGCAAAAAATGGACGAAGAGGCTTTGAGAGTATGTAAATTTGGTTGGTTCTTTTGTGATTTTTTTTTACATGGGTGCTAAAATTTAAATTGATTTGATTTCATATTTTTTTATAGATGGGTGCTGAGATATACGACCCTAGATTGTATATCGATCCTGGCCCAAGGGATCGAAGGTATTTAACCGGGCAAGATCAATATCGCTCTCGTTCAATTTGGAACAATAATCCGGTAGACACACTAAAATTATTTCAATAGTTTTAAAGTTTTTATTTTGCTTTCTAAGTTTTTTTTTTTGCTTTCTATTGACTAACAATATTGTGTTTTTTGTTTTGTAGGAATCACTTATTCCCATCAGTCATCGAGGGACATGTCGATTGCCCCGTTGGCATCCTCGACTGCATCCCTATCTAGAGAGGGCGGGATTGCACAATTTGAGGCACTTTATGAGGCTTGATATTGACAACGATCTGCTGACGGCAATGGCAGAGCGATGGCGCCCTGAGCTGCATACCTTCCACTTTCCCGAGGGTGAAATGACGATCACCCTCAAAGATGTTGCCATCCTCACCGGGCTCCCGATCACCGGAGATGCCATCATCGACAACTCGAGAAAACCAGAAGATGGTTGGGGGCCATTGATTCAGGAACGTCTGGGGTTCAACATGCCGACCACCACGCCCGTCGAAGGTCAGGTGCATCCACCACTGAATGCGGGGCAAGTATCGATCCCGTGGCTTGTTGACCACATCCAGATGGAGGTTAATATAGGCCTGGATACTCCTGAAGATCAGGTGGAGCGGTATGCACGTGTCTACCTAATTGCCTTGGTTGGTGGGTTTCTGTTCCCCGACAAGTCAAACCGGTGGATACAAGGCATGTGGTTAAATATGCTCCTCGGTGACTGGGACGAGATCGGGCAGAAAAGCTGGGGGTCGGCCGTCTTGGCTGGTCCGTAGTTACTTGAACTACCACCCCAGCCATACCCTCCTGCAAAACCATCATCATAAGAATACTGGTGAGAATGAGTTTCACCGACCGGCTCGGTCTCGACATACACCTATGCAAGCCGCACCCCGTTCTCAGATATGAACTGTGTCATCATGTTCGCGTCGTCATCATCATTTATGTCAACTTTTTCGTACATGACTCCGTCAGCACTCATGTTGGGATACCGGTAAGTAATTTGACGAACTCTCATTTGCCCGCCCGTACAAGTCCTTTCTGCACACCTGTCATGGAGTTCTTGCCACGAGAATCTCGACTCAATTGTAAGCATACTGGATTCGCCATCTTCATAGTCGATCCCAATGTTCGAGTTTGTCACCCGACCATTCCAATAAATAATAAGCCGAAACTTCTTAAATTTACCCATGTCTGCAATTTATAATAATTAAGTATAGTATATAATTAGTACATTATGGATACAAAAACAATATCATCCAAAGCGATAATAAAATGCAACTAATTGATCTATTATGAGAAAACTAAACAAATTCATCTAAATTCATAACTAGCTAACTAACATCTATCATATCATAATTAAACTAAATAATATCATAACATATTTTCCAATAACCGCAATTCACTAAATACAGACAGTATAATTACTAACACATCAACATGTAAAAAATACATACTTATAACATACTCAATCCCGATCTATCATGAGAAAACTAAACACATTAATCTAAATTCAGTACTAACTAACTAACATATATCATATCATAATTAATCTAAATATATAATTCTAACATACCTAATTCTAGCACATAATCAAAATGTAAACAATACATAATTCTAACATACCGAATCCCGACGAGTTTCTTGAGCAGTAAACTACGGAGGAACCAGCTGCGAAAACGACGTAACAAAACGATAATTTTTGTACTAATTTGCTCTTTGGCAGCAAGAGGGAAGAGGGCGTGGGTTTTTATAGGAAAAATTGAGAGCTAATCACCGCTTTGGACCAAGGCGGTGAACACATCATCGCCTTAGTCAACAACGGTGATAGCTAGGTAGCTGTTACCTACCTCTCCACCTACCAGGGCTATGTAAAACGTGGGGGCAATCACTGTTGTGGACAGCAGCGGTGATGCCTTCACTGTTGATGTCAAAAGCGGGGATACTTTCCCCGCCTTTGTCAAAAGCGGGGATACTATCTCCGCCTTGGACAAAAGCGGGGAACGTATCACCGCTTTTGTCCACAGCGATGATGCATTCCCCGCTTTCGTCCAAGGCGGTGATGCGTTCCCCGCTGCTTCACTGTTTTGGACAAAAGCGGTGATCAACATCACTGTCTTTGTCTAAGACAGTGATGTTGAAACTGCTGTATTTTGGGAATTACTTTTATAAGTACTGTATTTAGGGAATTTTTTTTAATAACTCGAGTATTCTGGGATTTTTTCCTAGTGTTTTGTTCCTGTGTTAATCTCTGACCAGGCTTATAAAGGTTTGTTTTAACAGTCATGGAGATGGATATATATATATATAGCTTAATTTTAGTTGTTACCTATCTTGCTGTAATAAATAATTCATTGTTTATTTTTAATTTACTGATTGAACTAGTTTATCCCAAGCAGAGATGGAGCATTATCACTCGTAAGAAGAGCAACACCAACTTGAAACTGGTAACCAAGGCCAATGGCTCCCTACTATCCGAGGTACAGCGGGCAGCTCTTCATGCAATGAACATGGCTCTAGATCCTTCTCCGAGGAACACATTTGTGAATAACAGCATAGGTACATCGTATTTTCGTTGCACAAAGAGTTGGCTGACAAAACCCTAATGAGTGTAAGCTGTTGAATTGAACACTATATGTGGAACTTGAAACAGGTGTTGGGCAAGCTTTTGGTAGTGCCACTGCAGTGCGTCGTCTCAGCTTGAGGAGAAGTTTGGTTGAACCAAAACAGGTCCCGACTCAAAAGCACAACCTTGTTGGACGCGGCAACAAGATGAGCTCCTGCGGATCAGAAGCTGCTGGGAAAGCTAAAGTACAGCTAGGTGGCAGCCATGGAGAGCAAGTGAAGAAAGATGATGAAACAGACCCCGGACACAAAAAACCGAGACTGAATGGTGAAATGCTAATTTCTCAGAACCCTTGTCATCTTGTATAGAAAAAGGAGAGCGATTTGGATGGCAAGGTAGATCCCTCAAGAAACTAGCCTAAAGAGAGTCGAAAAGAAGATGAAAGTAACAACACTGGTTCCTGTTCTTCTTCCATTGAAGATGAGAAGAAGCAACATTTTGCACGGGAGAGTAGAGGGAATGATGAAAGCAGAAGACTGAACAATCAGACGAACAAGGGATTGGTCTAGTGGTAATACCACTAGCCATGAACCTGGAGGTTCGAGTCCCTTCAGTAGTATCTAATAACAAAAAAAAGTAACCTATATCACCCTTATCTAAAAAAGAAGACTGAACAATCAGAGCAGCAGTAGCAACAAAATGTGCCAACGATGGCAATTAGAGGACTGGATCAGTGAAAAGCTGGAGAAAGTGGGAAATTCAGAAGAGAGGTTGTTATTTATGTATTAATTTATTTTTGTGAAAGCATAAGAGGGTTCTGTCGAAAATGTACAGGAGGACTAGGACGGGTTTGATCATTGATGTACTTATTATCTTATCTTTTTTATATATATAAACTAGGTACACTTTTTTACTTTTTACCAAAGTTACTATTTTAATTTTTGTTTATTAGTGAGAATGAAAAAATCTGCATCTTACCTCATCTCTCACACACTCAAATATATTAAAAGAAAATTTTTTATTATTTGGTCAAAGATATTGTATGTATAACTTGAGGGAGATTGTTTTGTTTAACCGAATCGAGCCGGAAATAATTTTCTTAAAGTTGAACTGGTAAGAGGCTAAAACGGTTCAATTTGATTTCAAAAAAATAAACCCGAGGCTTAAGCAGTTTAATTTAATTTTCTTAAAAATGAGATGGTAAGAGGTTTAAACGGTTCAATTTGATTTCAAGAAAATGAATTCTGAGGCTTAATTCAATAATGGGTATTTGTGTATTGGTTGTCATTTTATTTTTATTTTTATCAGTTTTTCAGTTTTGACCAAACAAAAAATGATAAGCACAAAGAGTTTGGGACCGAAACAAAAAAACGATGAGAGCACCTTATCTGTTCGTTTAGTTGAAATAATAAAAATTGAATCCAAACTGATAGTCCTATGTATAGGAGTCAAAACAAAACCCGATCCGACTAACCCGCCCAACTATCCCGACCCGCAACCCGACCGCAACCCGAATTGAATAAAAGTCAATGACCCCCAACCCGCCCGACCCGTGACTCGATTAACCCGTAACGAGAAAACCCACAACCTGATTAACCCGAACCTGATTGACCTGCAACTCGAATAAACCCGTAACTCGATTGACCTGAATCCGATTGGCCAGAACCCAACTAACTCGTAACCCGCCCGATTGACCCGAATAATTACTATATTATATAAAAATTAAAAATGAAGTTTGTTTGTTGTAATACTAAGTAAAACTATTTTTTCATTTTATAAAGGAAAGTTCAAAAAATGATATGGAGGTGAAATTATGTATTTTTAATAAAAGAAAGAAGAGAAAGAAATTAAGGAGAGTTTTGATGCTTTGGTTTATAGGAAGAGAAAGAAGTGGGAAATTTTGGTGTTTTCAAATTTTTGGGAAAAAAGAAGAGGGAAATTTGGTGCTTAAATTTTTTAGAAAAAAAAAAGAAGGGGGAGTTTTGGTGTTTTGGTTTATAGGAAGAGAGAGAAGTGAGAAATATTGGTGTTTTCAACTTTTTGAAGAAAAAAGAAGAGGAAAATTTGGTACTTCAAGTTTTGGGAAAAGAAAAAAGGGGGGAAATTTGGGTGCTTTGGTTTATAGGAAGAGAAAGAAGTGGAAATTTTGATGTTTCCAATGCTTAATCGCGCCAAGACAACGCCTAAGCGCGCCTAGGCGCTAGGCAGAACCCCAACGCTCGCCTTATTGAACCTTGTTTATAGGAAGAGAAAAGGTTGGAAAATTTTGATGGTTTTGATTGGGTTAATACACTAATTTGGCCCGAAGTGTAGAGTAAATGACAGTTTTGGCCCAATTTTCAAATAAGACAGTTGTGGCTAGGGATGGCAACAAAACCCGAACCCACGGGTACCCACCCGACCCAACCCGGTCAACGCGGGTAAAATCCGTGTTGACGGGTTTTGGGCCAGGTTTGGGTTTAAACCCGTTCACTATTCAACGGGTTGGGTTGGGTTTGGGTTTAGGTAAACCCGGCCCGTGGGTACCCGCCCACCCATATAATTAATTTCTTTGGTATATGTAATATTCTAAACAACTAATCTTATTTATGTTTGTGGAGACATGTCTAATTTTTTCTTTTTAATTGTGTAGAATGAAGTTGATGTTATGGAGTGGAGAGTAAAGAAACTTAATTGAAAGGAAGAAGCTTTCAATTAAACATGTTATTTATGGAAAATTTGTGATTTGCTTCAATTTTTTTGAGTTTTCTAGATTGGTGTTGAACAATTTGTATAGTTAATTTGTGATTTGCTTGAATTTTCTAGAATGGTGTTTTATATATGGATAATTTGTATTGAGAGATTGATATTTGACTTTAATTTTGATAAGAACTTGTAATTGTAAATTTTTTACGACAAAACCCGTGGGTACCCATGAACCCGCGGGTACCCAACGGGTTGGGTTGGGTTTGAGTTTTTCAAACCCAGCGGGTTTTACCCCGGGTTTTTTTCAAAGATAAACCCATGGGTTTGGGTTTGGCAAAACCCGACCCAACCCGACCCATTGCCATCCCTAGTTGTGGCCAACTTTTCAAATTATTAGACAAATTTGGCCCGAGTTTTGAATTGACCGTCAAAATTGACGGTTAACGATTTTTCCGTCATTGATTCAGCATACGGTGCTGACTAGGATTATACACATCATCATTTATTAAATAAATAAATTAAAACAAATTAAATATATGAATTTTTTCCGAGAGACTTTCTTCCACTCTCCTCTTAGCCCTTAGGCTCCTAATACACATATTCTACTGCAACTTCGGCGAATTACCCTTCTCCTCCTCTGGCTTCAATCCTCTTCTACCTCCTTGTCAACACCGCTTCAGTTTTGAGACTCCGACTACTTCTCCTCATCCCTCGAGCACCAATCCTGCCAACTCAAACTCTCCCCAATAATCGCCGGCGCCACCCACTTCATCCCTCTCTCTAATTGATAATCGAACCCACAAAAAGCTCGACATCGCCGCCAAGCCATCATGATCAGGAGATCCAATCTTTGAGTCAACGAACCCAGAAAGAGCTACCGCCCGATTTCAAATCAGATCTGGTGCAAAGGAAGAAAAAATTGGTAAATGAGAAATGGTCGTCGGAGAGAGAGTTGGGTTTTTCTGGGTTTCTGAAGGGGCTCGAGGCCATGGCGGTTAGGGTTTTTTTGGTTTCTGAAAGGGCTTGAGACCACGGCGGTTGGGGTTTTCTGGGTTTCTGAAAGGGTTTGAAGTGGTGGAATAACCTGCCGGGTCGGGAAAGGCAGAGCCCGCCTCTGCTGTTCTGATGAAATAGAAAGTATCTCGTGTACCAGCAAGAGCAGGGAGATTGGGATGTTTTTCTCGCCGGGAGAGAGGGTTGAATTGACGGAGATCGCCGAAGGCGAGTCGCCGAGGGACAATGTGGTAAGGGAAGACGGGTGGGTTGCTGAAGGCGGTGTCGCCAGGAGCAGCAACGAGGTAGTCAGCGGGGAGGAAGAAGTCATGGAGGAGATTGATTAAGAAGAGGCGGCTAGGGTTATTGAGCAAAATTGCCTTTATGTTTCTTAAGTTTTTTTTTATTCTTATTTTTATTATAATTTTTAGCATAAATAAATTGTGTGGAAGCCATGTCACTGCCACCTCAGCATCGAATGTTGAGTCACTGACGGATTAAAAGTTTGACCGTTGATGACTCGATATTTACACATGTTTTTGTCCACCATTTCGGTACCGTTTTGAGTCTCATCTCTCGTGTTTTAGGCCGATTTCACGCTAGGTTGTTCTTGTTTGTGATATTTCAGGTCCTAGTACATGAATGAAGGTTTGGGAACGAGTTCGGGGTCGATTGGACGAAGTTGGGACGTTTGACGAAAAGCTGGAAATTCCACACGGGCACGCCTAAAATTCCACACGGTCGTGTGACCTGGCCGTGTGGCACCAAATTACACAGGCAAGCCACACTGGCCGTGTAAGGGACCCCTTGTGGCCATGTGGAAAGTCCAGGGAGCTCACACAGGCAGCCTGGGAATCCACACGGCCGTGTGGTTTTGGCCGTGTAGCGTACCCGAAGACACTTAAGTGAAACGCGGCGTTTTGCACACTCACACGGGCAGCTGGGGATTTCACACGGCCGTGTGGCCTGGCCGTGTGATCGGGCATAACTGGGTTTTAACCCAATTTCGAGTCTTTTTAAGGGGAATCGACTTTTTGGAGCAAAAACAGAGTTTTAGAGAGAGAAAGTGCAAAGAACAAACCCTAGGAGCTATTTGGAGTTGATTTCTCACCATTGAAGCCCAAATTGCATCCCCAGGAGTGAAGATCATCATCCTGGAGCAGATTATCCTCATCTTTATGAGTATGACTACTCTGATTACTGTTTTCCTCTCTCTCTCTCTCTCTATGGAGTAGAACTTTCTCTCACTTGGGTATGAAGAACCCTAGTTCCATGTGTTAGGAATCTTGATTGTAATGACTTGGGATTGTTATACTGTTTGATTTTAATCGATTGATGCATGATTCATTGAGTCAATGGAAGTCTGATCATCTTTTCTTGATTTCTGCTGCAACCTGAGATAGATAGAATCTGATTAGGTTGTTAGAGCTTCATCAATCGTAGTGGTAGATTGGTTATACGAGAGTTAATCAATTTACTGCTTTGTACTGGAACCCAATTCCAGTAGTGGAGTTCTGTGCTTATTGCCTCAGCAGTCTATCCCGGTGAAGGTTAGTCGCCTGTCGGTTAGCCTGCCTAAGAGGGCTTGGTCAGCTTAAGAGATTCCAAGCTACTATCGGATCTTCCGCAGTTTAATCAATAGTTAATCAACCCAGGGTAATTACAACTGTGACCTAACTAAGGAGCTAGGGGGACTCATTCCCGAGTGACTCTCCCTTTGCTTTAGAAAACCGAACCATTTCCTCCTTTCTTATTGCTTTTAGTTAAAACCAAAATCACTCGACTTAGTTTGCTAGGTAATAGATATTCACGGAGTAGGCAGTAGATCTCGACCCCGGGTTGACAGTTAGAGCTTGCCT